AATAATAATAATAATAATAATAATAATAATAATAATAATAGCACAGAAGTCATTGGGAAGAAAAAGAAGTGAAATTATTAAATTCAAACTGTCTAGTATTAAATTTGCAGCTTTCTTATTAGTTTCCTTTGTTCGTTATGGGATGTTTAACAAAGATTATGCTAATTTTCTTTTTCATTTCATGAAGGTACACAAGAAAGCACTGTGGCAGCTGCTGGAGAGACAACGGCTGTTCCACCAGGTATAGAACAGACAACACTGTTAAGTTATTGTAACAGCTGCCGAATTGCTTTTAAGACAGCGTAACAAAAATTAACGCAGGAAAAATATACACACAAATTAATAATTTAATAACAGTAAAGTGATTCATTTCATCTTTATTACTTAAGACTGTCCTTTTATCGATATTTCTATCAATTTTTACAGCATAACCACAAACTTTCGGCCTTTTTTTAATATCGTAGTTTCCCAATATCTGTATGGAAGACAAATTAACGTAAATTACGCTCTTTTCAATCATGTAGCTACTGAGGAAACCACTGGTGCAGCACAAATTAAAGAAACAACAGCTGTCCCACCAGGTAAGAGTCTTAATAACATGAAGAAGGAGAAGAAAAATATTGTATATTTAAGATCATATTTTTCTGTTATTGAAATTTCAGCTTCTCATTAGTTATCTTGATCTTTTTATGGAATGTTCAGTTAGGTTTATACTTGTCTTTTTTGTTTCATGCAGCCACAGAGGAAACAACTGCAGCATCAGGTGAAGAAACAACAGCTGTTTCATCAGGTAAGACTACAAACAACATGGAGAAGAAAAAGTTACTAATTGCAAACCGTGAGTTTTCTGTAATTAAATTTCTTATTAGCTTTCGTTCATGTCTGCTATAGATGCTCAGTTACGTTTATTCCAGTCTTTTTCTTGTCATGTAGCCACAGAGGAAAGCACTGCAGCACCAGGTGAAGAAATAACAGCTGTTCCACCAGGTAAGACTACAAACAACACGGAGAAGGAGAAGAAAAAATTATTAAATTCAAACTATCTGTCATTAAATTTCTTGCTTTCTCTTTTACTTTATTTCTTGTTTGCTATGAAATCTTCAGTTAGGTTACAGTAATTCTAGTTTTTGTTGTTTCATTTAGCTACGCAGGAAAACACTGCAGCACCAAGTGAAGAAACAACAGCTGCTCCACCAGGTAAGACTCTCTTTAACACGTTACCACACTCAGGAGTTGAGGGCACACCTAATACTTGATGACATGGGTGACAAAAGACAATGAAAATTGATTATTGTCACAATAAACTGCGTCAGTTGTGTTCGCTGTACTGCACCCGTGAATAAGGGTTGATAAGGGTTAAAGAATTGAACTCTACCTATCTGCGCGTATATAATTCTGTGAAGAATCAATTAACCTGAAATACTTCAATCGATTGAATCGTCCATTAACACACTATTGTCAACATTGCTCCCATTTAAGAAATCCCATGCGAGGACAATCCCCTCGGGGCTGCAGAAGGAGGAAAACTGCCGAGCTCTAGTTTCACAGCCCCTACAAGTTACGGCGAATTTGTACCCTCTGCTGGCCGGTTGAATGGTCCGCTGTCCTGGTGTTCCCTGGGAGATGCTGCCGGGCAAGAATTCCTACAAATCCATGTACCGGAAGCGGAAGTGATTTGTGCTGTTGCCATTCAAGGGACAGGTTACGAAAGAGGAAATGAACATGTTGAAGAATACTTCTTGGAGTACTCCGAGGATGGCTTTAATTGGCAAGTGGTAGAAGAAGATGGAAATTTGAAGGTATTGTTTGATTTTAAAGTACTTTTTTTTCTATTTCGTTGTTGTTGTTGTTGCTGGTGTGATTATATAAAAGCGATGTTACTGTGTTGTCATTGTCGATGATGATTACTTGGATAAATAATATGACTGGCCTAATTAGATAACACCCTGAAAGAAAGCGCGCGCTAAAGGCTAAACTTCTATTTAGATATCGAGAGCTAATACTATTATTGTTTTCGTACCGATCTTATTAAATTTCCGTTTTTTAAAAAACGTTTTGCAATTATTTTTCTACATATTAAAAGTAGCATTAAACTTTCAGCTTTTCCGGAACAAAATTGCGTGCAGATAGAATCGTTGCTTGAAACTTGCAGCCGTCATCACGCGCTCATCCAGTTGAATGAATAACTTTCAATTTTTGTAAGTCGCACAACGGTCAATTTCTTTTCCTTCGTGTTTTTGGAAATTAAATTATCTAGTTTTTTTTTTTTAAATCTTCCTTAAAAGATCGGAGAAAAAACAAAACACAAACCGCGGTGATAAACATGGAACCAAAACGCATGTTAAACACCGCGGTTTGTGTTTTGTTTCTTCTAAAGCTACGATGGCCAAGGAAAAAGAGTTTTTAAGATCGGAGAAACGAAAAAACTTTACCTTTGTGTTGACGACTTCCAGCTTCTGCGCGCTTACATGTATGCGTGACAGTGCACGATGGCTCAGCCAATCAGTTATCAGCATTTGCATTGGTATACGAGTAGAATTCTACTTAAAACTCGGAAGAAACGTTAACAGTGATTGACATTACGTAACTAATAAACTGAATCGACGTAAGTCGCAGAGAATCCATGCCAATACGTCCACGTTCTTCGTAAAGATATAGCCATCGAAAATTAATAATTCATCATGTTTAAACAAAGGAAATCATGATTTCGACGGCGTTTAGATATATTATCTCAATGATTAGCACAGATTTTAACGATTCTATTTCTCCGTTTTCTCCTTAGTTTCGATTGAGAAGATAAATCACACACTCATGACAGTGTTTGCAGTGTTTGTTCACATCTCCAAACACCTCGAAGTTCATCAAAAATACCCCGCTGCGCGTCGTATTTTCAACTCTCTTCTCGGTGTTAGGAAATGCAGCCAGACATGGTCTTTCGTGTTTGATATATTACACAGTACCCATTGTCGGTTAAGTCAATTCGATATTCCATAACCATGCAAAAGTAAATGAAAAGTAACTTTCTATTTGGACACTTGAAACTTTAACATCTTTATTATTGCGTTAATTTACTGCGTTAATTTACATCAGTATTAAAAACTGAAATAAATTCACCCAAGTGCTCTTAGCCTAAAATATATGCTGGTTTTATAAATTATGAAACACGAATGTAGCAGAGTGCTTTGAAGTTATAACTAGCGTGTGACAATTGCAAAGATTTCGAAGTTAGTACGAAGAACACATGAAAGGTTCTTAACGGTTGCCGATGGCTATCCTGCCTGGCTAACGGGGCTCTAATGCAGCTTGGAGGGCCAATCACCCACCAAGTGAATAGACGAGATTACAGAAACCATAGGAAGCAGGCACAAAATCAGTCTTGGGTCAAGAGAACGTCTCCTCGGAGACTCGTATGACGCACCGTGGTAAAAGCCGAAAGCACGTTACGAGGTCGACTCCACTCCTTACCCCCAAGACAACAACTTATGCTCGGTACTTGGAACGTTAGAACTATGTACGGGGCAGGAAAGACTGCACAGATCGCTGCCGAAAATATAGACTTAGCTGGTTTTATAAATTATGAAACACGAATGTAGCAGAGTGCTTTAAGTTGTAACTAGTGTGTGACAACTGCAATGATTTCAAAGTTAGCGCGAAGAACACAAAGGTTCTTCACGTCTGCCGACGGTCATCCCAGGCACTCCGAAAATGATCTAGACTGCACGGTCAGGTTTGCGCAAGCTTCCAGCAATCCATAACCTGATTGATTGATCATTATTGTCTATTTCCTAGCTTTAGAATTTTAAAGGATCGAATTGTATTTGGTTTTTGATTGTGATTATATTTGTCGAAATTTTTTACAGATGTTTAAGGGGAACGACGACTCCAAATCAACGTCCAAACAAGAATTACCGGTCCCTGTAGAAGCCAGATACGTTCGTATTTATCCAACGCAGTATGCAGGATGGATATGTTTGAGAGCTGAGTTGTATGGAAAAGGTACATATTGTACAAAGGCCGCGTAATACTGGCAATATTTTCTTTCAACTTGTCGTGCAACAATGTTGCATTGCAAGTGGGAACTCATAGTGTTGTTGCGCGCATGACCATCCGTGTTGCAAGCAGCGGAAACATGACGGTAGCGCTAAGTGGACATGAGTTTAACTTTGTGCAAATTGCAACATGGTTGGTAATACACACAACGAGGTTTTTCAAACTATAAAAAGAGGAAAGACGATGTTGCCCGCATTACTTAGTCTTAATTACCGTTCACGTTTTCTTGTGGTACATTAGCAGAATGTTTTGCATTATTGTAGATGCTATCGTTTCGACATATTGTGCAGGTCTTTTGTGTGCACTTCCTTCCCCACTTCATTAGAAAACTGAAGATACACTGTCAAAAACTTTTGAAATCATTTTTGCATGCATTGTGCACTTGAAGATGGTGACTTCAAGCAAGAGATTATCTAGGTAATCTCTTGCTTCAAGATAATAGTTCGCTAAGACAGAAAAACAAGAAGAAATTATTATAAGCAACGTTTTAGAGTAAAATAAATACGGTGGCTCACCTTTGGTTCTCACCAGAATGATACTAATAATGTGTGCTTATTTGTTTACAGAAAGAACCCAAGCACCATTTCCAAAAGGTATGATGAAAAAAACCAAAACAATATTAGTAATAATAATTAAGGACCGTTTCTCAAGATTGGAACGATTGCCCGGCTTGGGCTCGCATGTGATCTATATCGCGACATTATACATTATGTGTCTAAGTACAGTCGAGCCCCGATTAAACGGCCACCCTTGGCCAGGAAATGGGAGGTGGACGCTTAATAGGGGTTGGAGTACCTTAAATATTTTTCACCATCGGGTTGATTGGTTACGGAGC